ACCATGATCGGATATGGGTCGCATAGGGTCAAAAAAATCGGATTTGATGCGCTTTCGCCTGCAGTGTGAACGTAGCCAAAGTCACATATCTGTGCCGTCTTCTATCCCAATATGTTATTACCCAAATGTTACTATTATCAATCAATCAATAAATCACACCTTTATTTGTAACGTGCAATGTTACACATACATGTTACCTGCAGTGAAAACCTGTAGTCTTATAGGGAGTTATAAAATATTAAACTGTAAATATTAAAATATTTCAAATATATGACACACTCCATATCTACCTTAAGTTTGAATCCAGCCACCCAGATCACCACAGAGTTCCCTGTGATGCCGAGTACGACAGTCAGTGTGTACAGGATGATGCTGACATTGTCCATGATGGCATCAATGTCCACCGCCTGGTCATCCTTAGAAGACTTGAGTGTGTTGGTGGGCAGAGAAGTATTTGGAAACATTGTGTGGCTGGAAAAGAGAAAACAAAAAAAGGGCCAAAATGTCAGGCATGTTACTTATTGTGTAATTCAACCGAAAGACGGGAAGAAAACACAAGAGTCTATATTAAAAAACAAATATAGATTCACAGACTCCACCTATAAGCCAACTTTTTTCTGATTGACGGAGCCTATCTGTATACAGTTAGGCATGAGATCACCATATGACCTTGCTGACATCCTAAAGACTAAAGAGCAGGAAACGTGTTTAGAGCAGGTCCATGGTTTCACATGGCTCTGCAGATCCCCGAGTTTTAGTTTGTTTTTCAGTTTTGGAGCCATGTTTTATACATCATATTCATACCTATAGGAAATCTAGAATAACCAATTAACGTAACCCCAAGCTGGAGTACCTGTGAGTACCCACGCAGACACAAAAAGAACATGCAATGATGCAGATGGTAGATTTAAACCCAGGACATTTTTGCTGTGAGGCAACAGTGCTAATCATGAGCTCACAATGCTGCTTATGTGTGTATATCTATATATTTTTCCTTCCACTTTTTTTCAGCTCTGTCTTTATACTTTATAATCCTGTTCTCCTATAGACAGTGTTGGGAAGGTTACTTTTAAAATGTATTCCATTACAGATTACATGCCCCAAAATGTATTCTGTAACGTATTCCGTTACGTTACTCAATGAGAGTAACGCATTCTGAATACTTTGGATTACTTAATATAT